GGGGTGCCTTGATAGTCGAAGCAGATCTTGTGCTGATGAAGCTAGAGAGGTGAGCTGTCTAAGTCTGATTCTCTCGTTAAAGACTTCTCTGTTGACACCCACCCCTTGGCGCTCATATGACTTTATGCAGTTGCGAGCACCGTAAAACACTTTACTATTTTTAAATTTTTTAAAAATTTCATTAAAAAAATGCTTGACATGTTGTGAAACTCAAAATTTTTAAACTACAAATTTATCAAATTTATCAAAGCTACAGGTACTGAGCAGATTGAACAGTGTAATTCTAGGGTAGTGACTATGTCCTGTCCCCATGGTTTTAATAAAACAGCAAAATTTGATCATTTTTTGGCATAATTTCTGATTATTTTCCTTTATCATTCTTTGTTAAATTAACAAAATCGCATAATTTCACATTTTTGGGCTCATTTGGCATAATTTCAGAATTTTTCTTGCATAAAACGACGGGGACAGTATGTCGACTGCTCAGTGTAGGACTCCGTCACACTTCACTCTCCTCCCCCCCTCCAGGGCAGTGCTACTGACTGAAGTTGTCTTTAGACCATTCCCAAAGGGGGGGATATTAACATGTTCTTATGCACAGTAAAATTGTAAATGGGTTGATTTATCAGTGTCATGCTCATACTGTGCCGGAACAACATAGGGGGAACTGCTGCTTTTTTTTTTTTTACTTCATCCTTACTATTGTCATTTTGCCTCTACTTCTGTTTTATGTTTGTCACTCTCTTGTATTGTGAACTGCTATTTTCGAAGCAGATTTTTTGCTGTTGAGGCTAGAGAGAGGTGAGCAGAGTAAGCCCGATTCCCCGTTTGGACTTTTTGGTTGACATCCCCCCCCTTAGTGCTCATATGACCTTATGCAGTTGTGAGCACCGTAAAACCTTACTAAAACTTTAAAAAATGTGTCACTTTTTCAAATGGCGTTTGGCTGAGTCTCACACCATACAGTCGATTTGACCTAATGTGTCTGCATATTTATTTGTAAATGAAGCGAATATCTGAACCCCACAACTCTGTTCTGGTACCTTTTCTATTTCCGTTTCAGCTGCTGCCAAGCCTTTTGCGAATCCTCTGTTGAAAAATGGAGCAGCCAAGTCCTGCAGGGTGAGAGTAATTTTTCTAAACGGCCAAGTTTTGTCTTATGTAGTATTTGTATAGTCACACTCAGACGTGGGCTTGAGTCCATCGGATTGAATTACAGTTAACTACACAGTGAGGTTCTCTTCTTCTCCAATCAATACACATTGTCAGCTCCTGTTTATTTTGACATCATCATCATCATCATCATCATTGCCTTTTTCACCCTGGATCAGGATATAGACCACGAACAAACACTTTCCACCTTTCCCTATCCTGGGCGAGTCGCTTGATGTCACTCCATGTCTTCCTACTTTTCTGTGCATCCTTTTCCATGACTCTTCTGCCCAGTATTAAACTCCATCATTCGCCACTTTTCAAAATGACGTATAGTGGAGTCTTATACGTGGCAATCGATTTGTTTGTTGATCATACTCCCTGTTTGTTTGTTTTTTGCGGTCACAGAATCCGGTAGCAGAGAAAGCGGCCGTGTGTGTCTCAAGATTCGACCCCACTGCCCCCGGAGCTGTGGTCATGCTGAGGCCTGGGTCAGACCATCAGGTCGGTGAATGACGTGCCAGCAATGTCAGCTCGAAACTAGAATTCACATTTTTTTCATCAAAGTGTTTCTTCTTCTTCTTCTTCTTCTTCTCTCTCTCTCTCTCTCTCTCTCTCTCTCTCTCTCTCTCTCTCTCTCTCTCTCTCTCTCTCTCTCTCTCTCTCCTTTCCCTTTCCCTTTTTTTTTTTTCCCTTTCTCCTCCTTCTCCTTCTCCTTCTCCTTCTCCTTCTCCTTCTTCTTACCTTACCTTACCGTACCTTACCGTACCTTACCTTACCTTACCTTACCTTACCTTACCTTACCTTACCTTACCTTACCTTACCTTACCTTACCTTACCTTACCTTACCTTACCTTACCTTCTATTCCAAACTATGTCCCCCTGTGCCAATTGCACAAGATGCAGGCCAGTCTCCGCAACCGGAAACCATAAGCCGGAGAGATAAGTAAAAAGGAAGAATGCGTCGTGCACCGCCTTGTTACGAGGCGAAACCTGCAGAAGAATCTGCTCACAAAGTCCCACCCCAGCGTATCAAGGGCTAGCCACCACAACACTCCTGAGGGTGACAGTTTAGACCCCTTACCAGTTACCTCACCTCACCTCAACTCACCTCACCTCACCTCATCTTATCTCACTCCTCCTCACCATACCTCACCTCACCTCCCCTCACCTCCCCTCACCTCCCCTCACCTCACCTCACCTCACCTCAACTCACCTCACCTCACTTCACCTCACCTCACCTCACCTCACCTCACCTCATCTCATCTCATCTATCTTATCCTATCTCACCTCACCTTACCTTATCTCCCCAGTGGAGGAACAATAAGCTGGGGCAGCCTGTGACAGACGTGGTTGTGGACCCGTACATTTCCTCCTTTTTGCGGGCGCACCAGCGAGAGGGCGTCGCCTTTCTCTACGAGTGTGTCATGGGCTTCAGGGATTTCCACGGACAAGGAGCGGTCCTAGCGTATGGCCTTTTTCTATTTTCCCACTCTATGTTTTCTGTTTCGTGGGTGGTTGGAAGGTGCTCTGGTGTGGTTTGCTTCTTCTTTCCTAGCTATCAAACATCTGTCGTCTTTATCTCCCCTCCTTCTTTTTTGTGTTTGTTACTCTCTTGTAACACCTCTAATCTTCGGCACTTAGATGACTTTATTGTGTTGTAAGTGTCTAAAACACTTACTAAAAACAAAACTTTTTTGTTTCGATAGAACATTTTTTCTGCTAAGATCTTTGTGACACCTTCTTATTTTCTTTTTGCCGTTTCCTTTCATTCTGTTTGTCTGTTGTTTCTTTCCATCCTTTTTCTTTTTCCCCAGTTTTAAGTTCCTAAATGTTGTACTTGCTAAAGTGACCGTGTCTTTTTTCATGAAGGTGCACATGGTCAGCATCTACTACATTTTGTAAAAACCAAAAATGAGTGGGTGGTTGGAGGGCGCGACTGGTAGGTCCTACTCCTTTTCTTTCCCGCTGTTGTTTCTGTCTATCTGTCTTGCTACTTTCGTGCACTTTACGACCATTATTTGTGTAGATGTACTTCTTTCCTCAAACTCAAAACCAGAAATGAAATTCTAGAAAGATATCTTTCCCGTTTCAGAGAAAGAAAGATAGACAAGAAAACGTTAATGCTTCAATAAAAATTTGTCTGAATGTTTTATCTACACAGAGATGACATGGGACTGGGAAAAACTTTACAGTGTATAGCTCTCATATGGTAAGTGAAACTGGGTCTTCACTTCACAAGTGTCCATATGTGATCAAGATAATTCACTTAAATTTTTTCACTTTTATTTCATGTTTTCAACCCTCACAACTCAGATATTTCCTCAAATTTTTACCTCGTTCTATGTTCAGTACTCAGATGTTTTTTCAAATTTTTACCTCGTTCTATGTTCAGTACTCAGACGTTTTTTCAAATTTTTACCTCATTCTATGTTCACTACTCAGATGTTTCTTCAAATTTTTACCTCATTCTATGTTCACTACTCAGATGTTTCTCTAAATCTTTACTTTCTCTTGTGTTGACAAATCGGATATTTCTTTCATATTTTTACTATATTTTATGTTGACTACTCAGATATTTTGTCGAATTTTTACTTTATTCTATCTTCACAAATGAGATATTCCTTCAAATTTTTACTATATTGATGTTGATAACTCAGGTATTTCTTCAAATTGTTACTATATTGATGTTGATAACTCAGGTATTTCTTCAAATTTTTACTATATATTGATATTGATAACTCAGGTATTTCTTCAAATATTTACTATGTTTTATGTTGTCATTTCAGGTATTTATTCAAAT